GTGTTAAAAGCATTCTCAGTTCTTTGTAACAAAAGAATTGCCATAGTATTTTTCTGTAGTCAAAAAATAAGTGAAAACTAAGAGCTGGCATTTTCTGAGAGGTCCCTTGAGTCTAAGAAGGTTACCTCCAGTCTAAATAGGTTAAGAACCTCTAGAACTAGACTGGGATTCTCTTTCACTTCAAAACAGGGGACTCCAGCCCACTCCAGACCAGACAAAACAGGATTTCCCCCTCCCCTTCTGGAAGAGGGCCATTTGTTCTAGAGAAGGAACAAAAAATTTTCATGCACCGGCACATCTGTCTTAGATCCCAGATCAAGACGGTGTCTCTTTTGCTGTGGACAGGGGCAGCGTTCCCTCCAAGCTGTGTGGCTGCACAGGCGCACCTGGCAGCACAGCATGAACGGGCCTGTGCAGCTCTGCACGCCGCACAGCTTAGAGAGAACGCTGGACAGGGGTCCTCAGGCACCAAGTTCCACTTATTGGCTTATGATGTACCAGGGCTGGGCTGGGACTGCTCTTTCCTAACCTGTTCCCTCCCCAGACCCTGCAGGCCTGCTCCAGGCTGTGAGAATCAGGTGCACCTGCAACAGAAACTAGAAGCAATAAGGCAGATCTGGCACTCACCATTTCCGCAATGGCTGCATTTGAGTGTTTGGCTGCAGAGAAAATCATTTCCAGGGCTTCTGCAAGGGGAAGAGAAAGGGAACCGAAGACTGAGCTTCTTCCCAGACTCCGCTCAGGAAGGTACCTTTCATGTGACCTTCCCAAGATTTTAAGAACAGTGTAATGGAGGGGCTGGTAGCATGTCTGAGTTACCACTTCTGTCTACTGGATAGAGCCAGGACCGTTCAACTGGGCATCATAAACCCAGTTCTGCTAACAGAAAGTCTCATTCAGCTCACATGATAGAGGCCAATGCTTCTGGAGCAAGGAGGGCTCAGGTCTAGTGCAGCTCTGGTTGAGGGATGGAGTGGATGTGGTGTGCAGGGCAGCAAGGCTGCCGGTGGAGGAATATTCCTGATTCTAGTCCCAGTGGAAATCCGTGAGGTTAACTTGTACACATACCCTTCCTCCCCCTGCTGAGGACCCCTCTCACTGGATCTCTCACATAGGAATACTAAGCGCTCAGCACCATCTAGCCATGAGCCCAAGGAGTCTTAAACCCTTGAATACCCACCATAAAGCATATCAGAGCAGAGCCCTCCACTCCATGCAGCTGAAGAGAACTGCACCAACCTGGTAATAGCACTTTGAGCAGCCAAATGTTTGTCCTAGTCACTAGATCCTGGTTACAAGGGTCCAGTAAAGCAGGTCTCACCTATTTTGTGATTCTCCATTTCCTTGCTACAGTGATCAAGGCAAATGACAAGCCTTTTCGAGTCAGTCAGAGGACTGGACTCAGACTTGCATCTAACGAGCCCCTGGTCAGAGTCACTCCAGTTTCCAGAAAAATTCCCTGCAGTTTTCCTGCAGTGTTGCGCCCTACACCTGAGGATCTCCCAGTGCATGGTGAAAGCAAATAAATATTCCTATCCCTATTTCATCTGCTTGAGTGACTTGACCAAGGTCACATAGCAAGGCACTGGCAGAGTTGGTAAGAAAATGATGCCTCTCTACCCCTTACTGTAAAACAATGCCACTTCCCTCAGACACACCCCATTTCCTCCCTCCCAGACAGAAAACACAGGAGCTCTTACTCTCTGCATCAGCCCTATCTGGTGACTCAGGAGGCAACTTTCGGACATAATCCTTTAGCAAGAGCTCATAGCGTGGGATCCTCTGCACTGGCTCCAGCATGTGGTGCTGCAGGGTTAGGCTAGCACACACTTCCTGTTTCTGGAGAGGGACATCAAAGAAACAGAAAGAGAAAGGGGATGGTGGGGAAGTGCAGGTTACTCCAGACACTCTGCTGTCCTCAGGTCTAGGTCTGGGAGCAGCCAGCTGAGCATGGAGGTCAGCTTCCCAGACCAGGACTACATGACCCGGAGCATCACCTGAATGTCTGCAATTAGCTCCTGGAACGGCGGGGACTTCTCTGACCATGTAGTGATCAGCTCCACCGCCTTGTTGAAGTTCTTGACGTACTCGCCGTACATCTTGAGGAAAGGCGCTAGCTTCTGGATGACATCCCCAATGCGGGGGTTGGAGCTCCTGCAGGTGGGAAGTGGGAGATTAGGATCATACCACATCCTCCCAGGACCAGCTGAGCAGGGCATGAAGGCAGCCCAGGGACACGGAATGGATTCATCAATTCATCCCTTAGGGGCAGCCTTTGGTACAAGGTCAAAGCAAAGCTCAGACACACACCTCTGGAGCGATAGCAACAGATCTGCTTTGCTACTACCCTGCTGTCTGGGATGCGGCTGTGGGAAGTAGCACATGACATTCCTGGAGCACTGGCCTAGGCTCGTAGTGCCCGAGTGTGGTCATGGTTTCAGAGTTACTTGGTAGCATCTGGGAAAGGAGTTGGTAGCAACTGTTTAGTTTCTGGGGAAAAGTGCCCATGTCACCAAAACCCTACCAGTGCTGGCACTGGACAGGATAACGGAACAGCATTCAGGAAATGCCCTGGGTCTTATATGGGTTCACTGTGCGGCCTGAGGTAAGTTACTTTCTGGTCCTCTCTCTCTGTGCCTCAGTTTCCCAAGCCTCTTTTATATAGTCTCAGTCAAGCTGCTAAGAGTAAATGGGCCTTAGAGACTAAACTGCCCTCTCATTACTAGTACATCTTAATAGGGCACAGACAAGGAGGGCTGAGCTCATATGGGGAGGGGTGTGTGTGCGTGTGCGCATGTAGAGCAAACATGGCCACTCTCCATACTGTATGCTGTCTGTGGGACTTTGCTCCCCCACCACTGCCAACACAACACTTTACACTGCATTAAAAACTTGAAAATTATTGCTGAGTAACTGCATGGAGGATGAAATGTTAACTTGGTCGCCCATGTTCATGAGGAAGGTTCCAGTTCCCTTACAGTGCACAGCACTCTGACACTTGAAGTCTTGCTTAAGTGAGAGAAGGGCATGTTTAGCATACGCTTAAGGCAATTCAGATTTGTGCTCAAACGGTCTTGCCAGAGTACACAGACTTGCAGAGCTCTGTGGGCTCACCTGTCAGACCCCATTGTAAGACTAATTTTGAAAGTGTTTTATTCTAGGAAAAGAACCCAGGAGCCCTGGCTCTTCAAAACTCACCACTCTGCCATGCGTTTCTGCAGCTCTGGCAGAAAGAACAGGGCATGGAATTGGTAAATGGAGGAGATGTTGGAGAAGATCATTTTTACCACGTCCTCTGGGACTGACTTCCCACTTCTGGCCTCCTTCATCAGCTCTGTAAAAAACACCTGGGAAGAAACATTGCCAAAATGTCAGTGCTAGAAAGGGCTGATGCATGTCCCTGATGCTCCTTATAGCCTGGATTCCTGAGGTGAAGAGGCTTTGCCTTGCAGAGGAATGGGACCCAAAAGATTCCCTTAAAGAGAAGCAGGGAATAAGGCCTGACAAAACAGCACTACGGCAAAGGCCAACAGCACCAAGGCTACTCACAGAAAGTCCTAGGTCCATCATGAATGGGAAGGGAGGAACAAGCTGAAGGGACTGGGGTGACAAGGATGAAGGGATATTTTAGGGAGTAATAAGATTTTCTGAAATGGAGACAGAAGCATTTCCTGGAGGGTGATGCTCCCAAAGAGATGTAGAGCTATGGGAGATACAGCACAGGGCAGGAAGATGGCTGAAGAGAAGGCAGGGACAGAGAGGCCACCCTGAAGGGGGATGGGGCTGTATGGAATGGGTACTCACATGGTCCCTTAAGAGACCAAATGAATTTGTCCAGGAGCAGAGTTAGCATGGTCAGTGAGTGATAGCGAGAAATGCCCGTCTGTCAACCAGCACTCATCAGGTCACTGGTATGGGGGGCTCAGGGTGGGGTAGAACATGGCCTGGTTGCACTACTTGAGTAGAAAGGACAAGCTGAGCTAAAACCAAAATGAATATGATGGGGCGCTTAAGACTTTCCGTGAAACCGATGATGGTGAATTGGGGTACTTTTCCATGAAGGGGCGTCCCTGGGTGAACTGTGGGCCAGGTCTTAGCTGTTCTACGTGTAACTGTAAGTTTCCATATCTCTTTGGGCCTAAATGTTAGGTCAAGTGACAGCTAGATCATAGGCTTATTGCTCTCCAGCCCCATCCTAGTCTCTCCGCTGACCTGGTCGAGGAGATGAAGGCGACTGACGTAGGCTTGTTCTGTTTCCAGCAGCTCCAACGCAATTTTCTTTTCTTCTGGGTCCTGTAGGTATAGCAAAGGGAGAAGTGGGTTTGGCCAGGCAGGTAGGAACCCTGGTCATGTGCTCTCTGCACCAAAGCCAGCCTGCTGCAAGCCACTGGAGTAGTCTGAATTCGTTTCAGTAACTCTGAGACAATTATGGTCCATCCGTTGGCATCCAATAACCCATATAACTGGCCTGAAACCAAGGCAGTCCTACTCACCAACACTGCAGACAGGCAGGGATGCGAGGGCTTGGTGTGGTGTGACTGACTAATCTAAAATGGCCAAGCTTTCTGTAAACAATGGGTTTAGATCCCAGCTGGGCTGAGGCAGCCTTCCCGAGGAGACAGCCAGGCATTTTATCTTCAAGGGAATGGGGGTCCTTTGGACAAGGCTTTAAAAAAGCAGCATCCTATTCACGAAGGCTAAAGATCTTTTAAAAAGCACAAGGGTCCTTGACCGCAGGTCTCCCCCATGTCTGTGTATGCTCAGGGTAGCTGCCTTTCAGCAGTGCTACGTAACCTGTGGGACACCTGGAAAAGCAAGGGGCCACAGGAACAAGTGCTATTCTGTGTCCAAGCCCCTGCCAATGGACTCTCATTCTACTTCCTGCACCTCCCAGGAGATAATACATCACCTGACTTTTTTTCCACAGCGGTTTTCAGGCCATTACTGCAGGCTTTATGCTGCCTTCATGATTATCAGCTAAGTGGAATGTGGAGAGAAGGTTCTTATAGTAAATGCATGAAGCAAAACCACATCACTCTCAGTGGATCCTCAGTTCCTTTCTCATCAAACAGCAATGAAGAAGCTGTCACAGGGCTCACCAAGGAAGGATGGGAAGGAGGCCTGGGGGTCAGGAGATCTGGGTTCTCTTTGAGTCTTATTGTGTGGCTCCCTTCCCCTCTTTGGGCCTCAGTTCCCCATTGTAAAATAGAGGTAGTGATACTACTACCTCTAGTGGGGAGATGAGGATTAACTCACTGCGGTCTGTACAGCACATCGGCAGTTCTTGACTGTAAAGTGCAACAGAAATGCAGCACCAGCCCCTCCATTACTGTACAGTGGCGCAGCACCACAGAAGCCAATGCAACCATCCTGGGTTACTCACCCTGAGCTTCTGGCCTGCAGAATGCTGTTATACTAGGAGAACTGACATCCCAGTTAATTAGAAGTTGCTCCTTTATAGAGCCTTATACCTGAAGGCCTCCAGACAAAGCCCTGGCTCAGCCTGTGGCATCTGGGTCCTTGAAGCATACCAGGGCAGCGGCATGCACTGTTCACTTTTAGGGTGAGATTTCAAGAGCACTGACACCCAGAAGCTCCTGCCAGGGTCAGGAGGAACTGTGGATTTTTCAGCAATGTCTGGCCACTTCTCCAGTTGCCTCTGTAAGGATCAGGCCCTGGGTTCTGAAAAGATCAGCCTTGCTAAACACGAAACTAGGACTGAGAGAAGGCAGGCCCACGGTTACACAGAGACTTGGGGCAGAAGCCGTGTCTCTAACCAAAGACCCTGAGCTGAACCTCAAACATTAAATAACCTGGTTATTGTCGCCTTCAGAGCCCAACTCGCTGCCTGGCTGGGAATCCACACTCTGCTGTCTCCTCCAGCCGTCCCTCATAATCTTGTTCCGGAAGGACCTCAGGCACTTCATGCTGAGCCCTTTCTGAGCCTGAGGCAGCTGTGGAATCACTGTCATGTCCTGAGGTGGCTGGGGAGCCCCTGCGGGGAGCTGATGTCCCTCTGGCTGGTGTTCCTGCTCTGCTCCACACTCTCCCGTCTTGGTTGAAGCTCTCCCCTCCACCATGGGTGGCAATGGCGGAGGTGCTCTGTGTTTGGTCTGGGGATGGATCTGATCCTTGCCAGGAGTTCTGTGGGGTTCTGGTGACCTAGGAGCACGAAATCAGCAAAGCAGTTTCATTACCTTGGCCATTCTCTCAGTGCCAGCACACAGTCTTGCAGGTGTATTCCCCAGCAACCAGCTCCATCCACTTCCACCTACCTATGGCACCCCACAAACCCATCAGCTGCCTGCCTGTGCCCCCTCCAACCTCCCTCAGAAACCCTGCCGGCAAAGCTCTGAGACCGGTAGAGAGCTCAGCTACCAGGGTCAGGGGCCACGATGAAAGATCCAAGGGGGCAGAGCGCTGATACAAGACACCCACAATAGCTACTATCCCTGGGGACCTAGTGATGGCTAGTGCATGTCAAATAAGAAGGCAGAAAAGGTGTTGTTGATTCATCACATGCCCTGAGCAGTCCCTGCTAATACCTAGGGCATCCTGGCTCCATCTTAAAGCTCCTCTCCCCAGCAGGATTCAAAACATGCTATGTAAACACGTCTCTGCAGGGTAGTTCACCCCTTCCCGTGGGATCCTGGTCCATACTAGTGCAGGGGAAAGGCCTCCACACACCTAGGCTCTCCATCTTCTGAACACACAAGCATATCCATGCTCCACACATACTTCTGGCCATATGCAATGCTTCTTCCTGCAGACCCCGCACATCTCTTCCTGCAGCTTTCCATAGTTATTAAGCCTTTTATGAAGCACCCCCTCACTGCAGCACACAGCCATACCTGTACACATCTCGGACAAGCACGTCCTTCCCTTCACACCTCCTCCCCAGGCTGGCAGCAGGGCCATCTTTTATAGAATCACAGAGAATTAAAGCCGTCAAGGACCTGGACAGAGCACCTAGTCTAACACCCTCCTCTAGGTGCAATTGCCTGTAGCTAAAGCACTGCATGCAAGTGTTTGTCTCTAGGCATCTGCTCCAGGACTTAACTTCCCTCAGAAAGTTCTTCCCAAAATCTAACCTAAATCTCCCTCATCACAATGTCCGCCCACCACTTTTAGTTCTGTCCTCTGCGGGCAGAGAACAACTGGTCATTGTCTTCCTCATAACAACCCTACGTTTAAAGACTGTTACCGAATCCTCCCTCTGGCTTCTCTTCTCTGGACTAAAAAAATTGCAGCTCTTCCAACCTTTCCTCATCTGTCTTGTTTTCTAGACCTTTAGTTGTTTTGCCGCTCTCTTCTGTACTCACGCAAATTTGTCCACATATTTCCTTGCTCCAGCTGGACACGGACCTCCATATGAAACTTCAGCAGAGTTGACAAGACAGAATGAATCACTGCGGGTGACTTACAGAGAACACTTCTGTTACTGTTTCCCAGCTGGCTATTAGCTTTTTTGCAACAATAACACTGGTGACTTTTATTCAGCCTGTGATCCAATATAACCCCCTTAAATACTTCCTGCAGTACTGCAGCCCAGCCAGTCGTTCCCTGTGTATTTGTGCATTAGACGCTTTCTTCCTAAGCACAGTGCTTTACACTGATCTTTGCTGAACTTCACGGCTGCATGTCAGGGTGCACACACCCACTGCCACACTGGCAGAAACCCCATGCCTACTTTTGGACATGCAAATACCCCTTGACTTCCCCTTTCTCTCAGACACTCATGCTAGTATGTATCCTTAGGCACAAACCAAGACAGGCATACGCTCTTGCCCATACACACATCCTTGTGCGCAAACCCCTGGCGTGCACAAACTCACGTGCAAGTCCCACGTGCACATCTTTTCACATGTATGTACCCAATGTCCTTGCATCAAGAAACAAAAAGACTTGCCTTTCACTCTAAGGTAGCTGGTTCCTTTGCACTGTTACACCCTGGAGCCTGCGCGCACCAAGTGCCGAGCTCAGGAGTGCAACTTCTCCATTTATGTTTGCACTATGACATGAACCATTCTGCCTACAGTCCCCTCTTTGTTCCCAAGTCAGACTTGGTATCTGTTTCTAGCTTCCCCATCTTCCAAAGAAACCACAGATGTCACTTTTATTTCCTTTAACAGAGTCTCACAAGCTCAAGATAAACAAAAAATTGCTGCAGCAGCAAGTTGGATGAAAAGATCAAGTCAGCTACAACCAGACAGTAGTTTTTATCTACGAACTAGCACAGTGGCTCTGTTCCCCCGGGGTAATGTTTGTCACAAAGACCAAGACAATGCATGGGAGGGATGGGAACAAAGCATTTTCTGTTGAAGGGATCCAGTTCTGGAGCCAATTCCCAAAGGCAAAGCAGGCGAATCTGGAGCCTGGATGCCTTAAGGAAGTGCTGCAAAACCTTCCTCTTTGAAACAGATGCTGTTCCCTAAGAGCGATACTCTTGATACTGGCATGAATTTCCTCATACTCTCTGGACAATGTTTGGAAATGCAAAAGGAGCCACTAGTTTTAACGTCTTCTTGAAGCCTAGTAGGGACTTGGCTACTGCTATGAGTTGTATGTGGAGTGACCAGATCCTACAGTAATGAGGGACAGGATAAAGCTCAAAGACACAGAGAAAGATGCAGGCACTCACCAACCCCTCTTCTGAGGCTATTTATGAGCATCAACCCCTCTTTTGAGTCAAGGGTGTCACAAATACAGCTTGTGGGCTAAAACCAGTCCAGAGCTGTTACATCCAACTCGCTGGGCTATGGCCAGTTGTGGGCCGAGTTGGGGATGTCACCATTGGCAGCACAGCAGGGTGGGGAGTGAGAAAGAACAGGTGAATTGCCATCAACCGAGTCAGACCATAGGTCCATCTTGCCCGATCTCCCGTGTCACACAGCAGCCTACCCTGATCCCAGGAGCCCCCGGGGACCTCAGCTGGCGGCTCCTCTACGGAGCTGCCACCACAGGTGCGTCTCTGGTGCACTTCACGGGCTCCCCTGGCACCTGCCCCTTCTGCGTTACCCCTAGGCGTCAAGCCGGCCCGTGTCACGGGATTACCCAGGGGCTTCCCCGCTGCTCCTCTCCCCCTCACAGCCCCCGGCCTCTCAGGGCCAGGCTGCCCCGGGGCCCCTTACCTGGGCGCCTCGAAGGCAGCCACCAGCCTGGGCACGACCGTCCGCTGCCTGTCCATGCCGCGGCTCTGGCTGCCCTGCCTGAGGCCGCCCACGCTCCTCCCCCCGGGCAAAGGGGAAGTGCCTGCGGTGGGGCTGCGGCCGGGGCGGGGGCCGGCTCCGCACGTGCCCCGCGGACACGCGGCGGGAGATGCAGCACGTGCTGCAACGTTCCAGCAGCACCCGGCGCATGCGCCCTCCTGCCTACGGCATGGAATGGCTCGTCCTCCCCCCGGCAGAATGGTATCGCTCACTACCTCCCCCAAGACTCCCTTCCCCTGATGAGGCTAGAGGGAGGGCGACACGATGACGCAGACGCACCGCCCCTTTCCTGCGTCGCACCCGGAAGCGTCCGGGCTGTGGCTGTGGGGATGGTCGCCCCTTATTCCCCCGCCGCCACCCCCGGCCCGGAGGGGCGGCCGGAGCTGGTGGGCCCTGCGGAGGGCGCCGACGCGCTGTTCGTGGTGCTGGGCGCCGGCTTCACGGCGCTGAGCCACCCGCTGCTGTACGTCAAGCTGCTGGTGCAGGTACGGGGTGGGGATGGTGGCCGGGAGGGGGCGCACTGCAGAGGGCTGGGGTGCATCAGGAGCTGAGCCCGGCGGAGACCACTCAGTTGCCTCTTGGGGAGGGGCTCCCTGGGCCCTGAGGTTTGGCCCCTGTTGAGCTGGAGAAACCAGCTCTGGAGCACTGTCAAGCGCCACCTCGGTTGCCAGCCTGCTCTTCTCGTAGCCAGACAGTGTGACCGTCCCTCGGCCAGTCCGGGTTTATTGCGCGATTTGCCCGTGTGGCTCGTGATGTATGTAATGTACAGCGGGGATGGGGGGAGCTGCCCCTCAGTGGCATCTCCAATGCAGTCCGTAAGG